TTTGTAGGTATTTGTCTAATGTCTCTCTTCCCTGGTATACTGGCCAGAAGATCTCTATGGTACTATGTCCCTAACACATACCTGACATATATTAGCCAATACATGTATTAACCTAGAATTTAGGTGTCTAGCCAGCTAGTTTAGTATTATTATGGAATTGCTTCTACAGCAAGCACATAAGTAAGAGATAATTATCCTATGATAAAGTATAATAAAAGCATTTTGACACAACATGTATTAAGCCTGTTATGTGCCATAGGCTTTGAATTTCTAATATTCTTTCTGCTTTTGCACTGTGTTTGAAGACAGTACAAATAACTGCTCTTTGAGACACAACGTTGTCTTAATAGTTCTTGCCCTGAATTTTAAAGGGAGCCAAATTTTACTCTTTTTTTCTAGGTAATATAAGCAAGGAAAATTGTGTTGCGAGAAGTTCACTGGTTACCATGATATGTGGTGTTATATATCCCAATGGTTTGGCTTTTTCTAAAAATGGACGCCTGGCAGTCAAGTAAGTCTCTCTGTTCATTCTCTTTTTTCCTTTCTTTTTTTCATTCTTTCTTATTTTTAGGCTAATAAACTCTTCTTAGTCTTTAGAAATCTATGATATAGTCAAATGTAAAATTAGTCATTTGGTATTCCAAATAGCTAACATTTAATTTTTGCTGTCTACACAGTAGACTTATGATAGAAATTACAATTATCAGTTTAGGAGAAAACAGTGAACTTTTGATAGAATATATATCCAGGAGAATGATTAACTCTTTCTCATTTTTAGGTATCATACTGTTCCACTGCCACAGAAAGGAAGGGTTTTACTTCATTGGCTCTTACTTTGTCACAAGAACATAAAAGCAATGGTAATTCCCCTAGTGTTTATGACACCATTTGGACTATTTGGTGGTGCACAGCACTATGAAATGTTTAAAAAAACACATGAGAAATCTGCACATGAAGATTGAAGAATGTGTGGATACTAACTCAGCAGTATATATTTTATATGATGAAGACTCAGGCCTTGCTGAAAGAGTAAAACTATTTGTCATTTTGCCTGTTATATAGAAAATAATATTTAGTAATTTAATAAATACAAATGCTAAACAAATAAAAGTTTCATCTTTCTTTCCTCATTGTATGTGGAAATGGGGTTAGGACCTTAGGTCTGATCTATGCAGTCATACATTCATTCATGAAACATTAACCACATATTTGCTGTTTTAAGCACTGTATTATACATAATGAGAAGTGGTCCTTATCTAGAAAGAATTCTCAATTAGGAATACAAGGGCCTGGGATTTAGCTCAGTGGTTCTGGCACCTGCCTCACAAGTGCAAGTCCCTAGTTCGATCCCCGGTACCAAAAAAAAAAAAAAGGAATATAAAATGTGAACATATAATATCAGAGGGTTTGAGAGATAAACACATAATCTGAGAGTTCTGAGGGTGTGGCTATTAAGTACTTAGAAGGGGAATTTATGGGAAAAGTAACCTGAGGTTAATTCTAAAGGGAGAGTTGGAAGTTCACAAGAAAGAATATGGAGATACAGCCCATTACTCTCCACTCCACATATACTAACTAGTTTCTTATTTACAAATTGTCTTCACTGTGCAGTTTAAAGAACATTTACTGCATTTGTATTTGCCATGCAGTAAGAAAAGCACCAAAGGTATAAAAATTCAGTCCCTGCCTTCAAGAAGCTTAAATTCTAAAAGATTTCAAAACATACTTCCTTGGAGTCTGCTCAGACATTCCTGAGCTACATTCAGGAAATGCAGTTTACAGAACTGCTTCTTGTCTTAGCCACATATAAGGGGCTAAGTAAAAACTTGTAATCTAAGAAATACAGCAAGATTGACCTTTGTTTACCTTTGCTGCCATCTGAAAGCTGATTTCTGCCTTAGTGACTCCAAATTATCTTTGTATAAATTTCAAAACAGTGGCAAAGTATTTGATATTTTCCCTTGGCTTTGGAAAGCAGTACTTTCCCAAGTGACTGTTGGAAGTGTAAAAGGAAAAATTAGGGGACCTTGGTCTTCTGGACCCAAGCCCAAAGGTAAAACTAGTTGAACCATAGTAAAGAAAGCAAGGTTCTAAAGGCAAAACAGTGCATATGAGAAAAGTACAGCATGGAACACTGAAGGTTCAAATCCTGTTTCATTACTTACCAAAAGGATGACTTTGAAGAAACTTTTACCTCCCTGGCACCTCATCTTCCTCATCTGTAAAATAAGTATTAAAAATTATAGTGTTGTAAAAATTGAATTAGTTAAAAATACAAGTCAAGAGTGCTCAAATCATAGGAAGTCTGTGTGTTAGCTGCTTAGTCCGTTTGGGCTGCTGTAACAAAACACCATAGACTTACATGATTTTTTTAAAAGCATAAGTTTATTTTTCACAGTTCTGGAGGCTGAGAAGTCCAAGATCAGGACACCTGCAGATTTAATGTCTGGTGAGGGCCTGCTTTCTGGATCACAGAAGTGTCTTTTTATTGTGTGCTACACAGTGGAAGGGGCAAAAGAATTAGAGGTAATAATCTCATTCATAACGGTAATAATCTCATTCAGAGAAATTTGCCCTCTTGACCTGATTGCCCTATATCTTATTACCATCACCGTAAGGGTTATGAATTCAAAGTAAGAAGTTTGTGGAGGCACAGACCATAGAAGCTATCATAATTACTGTCATTATTGTTGCTGTTACTACATACCAACCAACATAAGCCTTTCCTAGCCTGTAGCCACCAGTGTGGCATTTTTACAGGGAAAACTACAAAGAAGCACAGGGAAATGATTTCACAGGTGTATTTCATTTGAATAAATTTGTGTTTATTCATCCAATATTAATTCAATATCTATTGTGAAGACACCCAATGCCATATCTTGTGTGAGTAACCATTTACTTTTCTGTGTTTTTTATATTAATAACTGCTTTATAGTGTGGTTATAAAGATTAAAATGCATGGAAGACTAATCCAACAGCACATCAAAAAGGTACACTATGATCAAGTGAGATTTATCCCAAGAAGGCAAGGATAGTTTGGTGTACATAAATCAATAAACATGATACCCCACAACCACTGAGTGAAGAATAAAACAATATTATCAACTCAATAAATATAGAAAAGCTATTTGATAAAATTCAACATTTCTTCGTGATACAAACTCTAAAATTAGATATAAAAGGAACATACTTCAACCAAATAAAGACCATATATGACAGACCCATAGCTAACATAGTTAATGGAGAAAAGCTAACAGCTTTATTCCAAGAGCAATCAGGCAAGAGAAAAAAGTAAAGGGTGTACAATTTGAAAGGGCAGAAAATAATTCTTGTTTGCCAGAAATAGGATCATATACATAAAAAATCTAAAGATGCCATCAAAAAACTGTTGGTGAGCCGGGGATTTAGCTGAGTGGCACCACCCCTGCCTTGCAAGTGCAAGGTCCTGAGTTCAATCCCCAGTACAAAAAAAAAAAAACTGTTGGTACTAATAAATTCTTTATAGGTGCAGGACACAAAGTCAACATATAAAAATCAGTAGCTTCTCTATATACCAATAATGATCTGGCTCAAAAACGAAGCAAGAGAGCAAACTCATTTATAATAACTACCAAAATGTCTAGTGATACATTTAACCAAGAAGGTGAAAGATATCTACAGTGAAATTATTTTTTTAAAAAGTTGAGAAAAATTGAGCACCAAGTAAAAAAGAATGACAATAGTGTAAAATGTCCATATTATACAGAGTGATTTACAAATTCAATATAATCTTTATCAAAATACTAAGGACATTCTTTATAGAACTTCTTTAAACCTTGAAATTTGTGTGAAACCAAAAAATACCCTTAAGTAGTCAAAGCCAGGGCTAAAAAAGCAGGAGGAATCATGCTACCTGACTTCAAAATATGGTACAAAACAACATCGTACTGACATAAAACATAAAAATAGACCAGTATATATGCACAAGAGATATATATGCACATATTTATACCCAACTAATTTTTTTACAAAAGTACCAAAATCATAGAGAAAGAACAGTCTCATCAGTAAAAACTGCTGGGAAAACTGGATATCCATGGGCAGAAAAATGACACTAAACCCATCTTCCACCAAATACAAAAATCAATTCAAAATGAATTAGTGAATGTAAGCCCTGAAACTCTGAAACTACTAGAAGAAAGCATAGGAGAAACACTTCAGGGCACTGATATGGGCAAAGATTTTTTTTGGATAAGATTTCAAAAGCACCAGAAACAAAGGCAAAAACTGACAAATGAGATTACATCAAACTAAAAGTTTCTGCACAGTAAAGGAAATAAAGGGTGAATAGACAACCTGCAGAATGGGGAAAAAATTTGCAAAGTATTCCTCTCACAGATTAATATCCACAAGGTAAACAGGAACTCCATAGCAAGAAAGTCAATTTTTAAATAGGCACATGATCTGAACAGATATTTTGCAAAAGAAATACAAATGGCCAACAAGTATATTAATGTTCAATATCACTAATCATCAGGGAAATGCAAATCAAAACCATAAAGACCTATTGTCTCACCCCAGTTAAAATGACTATTATCAAGAAAGACAAAAAACGAGACAGGAGACACAGGTAGCTGCGCCCTGCTCCAACTGGCTTGCCCCGCCCACTTGCATCCCGGAGATGGTGAGGACAACGCCCCCACAACACCACACCCTGCAGGCCCACAAGCTGCTGGGTTGGCCAAGCCATGGGCCCACCCCCACCTGCCTCTGGCCTCCTGACTGTGAAGCTACCCAGTTCCACACTACAGAGGCACAGGGAGACATAAAGGCCGTTGTCCTGAGTTGCAGAGGTCAACAGCAGAGAGAGGGCCTTTTTCAGGCTCCCTGATGAAAACTGAAGCCTACTGGAAAAGTGAAGATAATCTTAGCAATATAGGCACACCAGACTGCCTTACTTGGTAAGTTGGAGGGAGCATCACCTCCCATTTGATCCTTTACTATTTTCAGGGGAAAGACAGCTGGAACCTGAAGTAGAGCCTTGGGGAGTTCGGTCCTGTGGGAGGCCGGAGAGTTCAATTTGGGACTTGCAACAGGAAGTCTGTCTGAATCTTCCAGGTCTGTGACTGGCTTACTGGGACTCAGTGACTTATAACTGACAGTACCAAAAACAAAAATGAGAAGACATTTAAGCAAGTCACAAACTCAGGCTTCCACTCCACAAAAGGCAATTTCTGGGGAAAATAAGGTGGAAAAGTCTGATAATCAACCAACTGGACACCCTGAACTGATAGCACAGGTAAAAAAAGAGATGAATGAGGCTCTAGAAAAATTCAAAGCAGAAATAATCTCCCAGATAACTACAGAGATGGTGAGCAGAGTGAAAGACATAATTAGAGGCTCTAGAACAGAAACAGATAAAAAAATAGATGAGCTCAGAAATATGCTGGAAGCCATGAATGCCCAGCATAAGAAAGAAATAGAAACCATGATCACCCAACATAAGAAAGAAATGGAATCCATGAATCAGATTCAAATAGGTATTCAGATTAAAAACTCCATTGTAAGCATGCATAACATATTGAGGGAATGTGAAGATAGAATATCAGATATAGAAGAAAGGATTGCAGTTAAGGACCATGAAAACAGAGATTTCTTCAAAATAGTAAGGGACAATGAGAAATCAATCCAGCAGATGCTAGATGATGCAAAGAAGAATAACATAAGACTGATAGGAGTCCACGAAAAAATAGGGGAAAATACAATTGATATAAAAAAAATGTTCACAGAAGTAAAAGTAGAAAACTTCCCAGACAGAGATCAAGAATTGGACATTCAGACAAGTGAGGCATATAGAACTCCAATTAGCCATGATCAAAAAAATCTACACCTAGACACACATAATGAAGATCCCAGAAACCAAACAGAAGAAAAAATCCTACAGGCAGTTAGAGAAAAGAAACAAATCACCTATGAAGGAAAGCCTATCAGAATCATGGCAGATTTTTCAACACAAACCCTCAAGTCAAGGAGAGCCTGAAGTCAAGTATTTCAAGCCCTAAAAGAAAATAACTTCCAACCTAGATTGTGATATCCTGCAAAATTATCTTTCAAAATCAATGGGGAAATTGGATAC